ACCCTCCTCAAAGTCTAGCCAAAAAGCCAGCAACTCACACAACAGGTTCCCCAGAGCAATTCGCTCGAGAAAGTGGTACCCGGTACACGTAATACACGGCACACAGCACAACAATCCGCCAAAACAGGCAACCCGGCCCAAAATTACCACCGTAGAAGGCAGAAACCCCGAGCGGCAGTGCAGGAGCCCAAGAATTACCCTTAAAACGGCCACAGGAGCTTAAAAAGACCAACTGGGCCCCAACTGGTCCGAAGGTAAGTAGTTGCGGACTAGTCCCAAACTGGTTCCCGGACTGGTCCCCGACTGCTTACCAACTGGTCCCACGAACTAGTTACCAACTGGTCCCAAAGTGGTTACCAACTGGTCCACCTATACCTCAAGTGGTCCACAAGTCACTTCACTTACAAAGCATTCGATTTAGTTGACAATAGTCAAACTACATAACGTAGACCTAAAATTTCTACAGCGAAAGTAGAACTTTGAAATCGATTTTAAGCGGTCGTTGTTCATATACCCACATACATACATACATATATTACTTTTCATATCAATTCAAGTGTATTACATGCGCCCCACGCTTTTCATTTTCAATTTCATAGATTGTTTATAATGACTTTTGCTAAAATTTCAAAATCAAAAGTTATCAAAACAAATTCTATGGGACTGAGAAGTATTATTTTCTACTTTTTAGTCCATTTATAAAAGCGTTGTATATTAAAAAGTTTTTTTTATATTATTTATTTTCTACCTTTTAGTCCTGTCTGAATAAAAGTTTGCAATAGATATTAAAATAATTCAACGATATTAATAGAAAGGTGCACACACATGCATTTACATATGTATGTACATACAAACGAGCACCAATTAATTAAATGAAATTAATTAATATGATGATTATGATTAATAATAATGAATTAATTAATTAAAGAAATGGCGTGTCGTCTATTTCTGGTGTAGCAAACGTAGTACATAGGGCGACATCTAGATGTCATCTACCTCGCCCTATTCACTATGCTTTTTTATAGGAGCTTTTCAAAGCTTTGCTTTATGGTGTCGGACACGCAACATTGAAAGTTTCTGGAACACAACATTGAAAGTTTCTGGAACACAACATTGCAAGTTGATAAAAGCGTTGTAAAATAAAAAATATTCCGATGAACTGATAATTTCCTCCTTTTTGTAACATACATACAAAAAAAAATAAAAAATATTCCGATGAACTGATAATTTCCTCCTTTTTTAGAAGTCGGTTAAAAAGATCAATCGTTTTATGGGCATATGGCCGGGTCGTTACGTACCAGTTGCGATATTATGATGGAGCTTAAATTATTTTAAAAGAAGGCTGAAATTTTTGTCGAGTGTTAGTTATCTTGAAAATAACTTTCAGTTTAAGAACAATAAATTTTAATATTCGAATGGCTTTTGTCTATAACTTACAACTCCCTTTTCTCAATTTACTGACATTGTAAAAGGGTTTTGCATACAAGAAATAGAGTTAGATACTCTTTTTAGCGAATTCTTAGTCTTTCACAGTTTTCGCGTAGTTAAAAATTATTTAAGCCATGAGGAAATATAGATGAAGTCATTAAAAAGTGTTACTTTTTCACAGTATGCAAAAATATTTAATTTTTTATTTTTTTTTTCAATGCCACACTCAAACGAAGCAACTGAAAGGATCTTAAGAATAAATTTTGTGGTTGAAGTGAACTTCAAATTAAAAGTAATCTTAAAATGAAATGTATAGAATTCTTTAAACATTTAAACACTGAAAATGGGAATGATCTCATTATTGCTATTCAAAAATGTCACAAATATAAAATAATTTATTGGCTCCTGTGTATAATGATGTATACATTCATGTAAAATGAATAACACTTTTATTTTTTATGAACTTCATACATATATACCAAAATAATGTTAAAATTAAGAACTCTGGCGTTTTAAAGTATTTTCTGTTACTTACATTCAAAATTTTGCTTTGAATAAAAAGGTACTGAAAAGTACTGATTTTTTTAGCGTGGCAAAGTGTAACGTACTGATTTCGCGCATAAAAAATCTGGCAACCCTATACTTGGTACAATCCTGGTAATTTTCGAACTAGCTCGGTTTTAGTCGGGAAATTCTAGTTGTAAACAAGTATTTTTCCTGACTAGTTTGGGGTTTCACTGCAGGGGTTTCAATTGGCTTAAAATTACCGTTGAATTTTTAGAATTTTTTTACCGAACGTGTTGCGGGAGCACTTAAAAGGGGAAAACTATAAGCAAAATGGTAAATGGGATACGAAAAATTTAGGTACTTAGGCAGGTTGGGTAAATAAGCAGGGAGGTACTTATAGTAGAGGAGCCCACGATGCTAAATCGGGATTTACTCGAGCGTCATTTTGGCCTATTGGATTTTGAAGATTATATGATGGGAAGAAAAAATGGTAAAAAGGTCATGTGATGTTTTTCCTTCCAGCGGTGGATGGAGGATCTACAGGCTTCCAAAAATGTAAAAATAAACCGTTACATGGATTTACTCAATCGTGTCAGATGGTGGGGGTGGAAGTACAGAAGGTTAAAAAATGGGTGATAAAAAAAATTACTCGAGCGCGTCTGATATTCACAAGGGATGTTAAATAGGCCCGAATGAACCTGCCATTCAATAATCTGACGATTCAGATATGACGCAAGCTCGTGGCGTCTTCTTGAAGATGCAAAAAGAAATGGCCATTTGGATTTACTCGAGCGCGTCAGATTTTCATACAGAAGGTTCTTCTCGATGCCCTGGTCGTGCTGTTTCATAATCTGACGATTATCTGGCGGCATTTTCTTAACCTGACGGTTTAAAAAATAATTTCGTTTCTGAGATGCCCAGTCAACCAAACATATATTATTGTAAAAACTTATTTTATCCGTGCACCTATCATCATACAGCAAGTCCCGTTCGACTTGGTCGTAAATTTCTTCTACATTTTTCCTATCTGTAACAAGTAATTGACAACAGTTTTTTACATATTAAATTAAAAGTGTGTTATTTATTATAGAATTTGCGAGGTATTATACCTGAATCCCGTACAACAGATTTTTTGACAAGGATTTCATCCACAAAACACACAAAAACCATTTCCACTCGTCGTGAATCACAAAATTTAGTTAGTAAAATTTCAAAGGTTATATTTCATGTAAAACCGAGAGTGCTTTAATCGCCCATGATTGTGTGATATATATAAGTAAACTTAAGGTTGCTGAATTCAAAATTATCTTTTTCTTACATACAAATTCTCATGTCTAGTGATTTTAGCTAAGAAATGAGTAAAATTCACATACATAAGTTAAAAAAGTAGGTAATTTTGAACCAATATTTATTGAGCTAAAAGTTACATCATGTGCTACTAATTTTTCTTAACCCTGGAAGTGCTTAGGTCTTTTGACCCTGTCTGCGTGCTGCTTAGTGGAAACGACTAAGACCAGCTTTAAATTTAAATAACAAACATAAAAAGTTAAAAAGAAAATACATTTTATAATTTTTAGTCCTTTATATTTTTTAAAACACATTAACAAAATATTAAATACATATTCTTTTTTCTGTTATAATAATGAAAAAGTAAATTACTTCAGGGAGGGTTAAATACGAAGAGTAACACGATTTTTGTTAGTCGAATCGAATAACGAAGCGCGTCCAGGAGTAATGTAATTAAAATCTAATACTTCTTCGATTTACGATTATTTCTACTATTTTGAAACTAGGATTAAAGTAGTCGTAATCGTAGACGCACTTAATTACACATGTAATTCCATCGCCCGGCTCAAATTTAGATAAAGGTTTTGCTTCGCAAGTGCACATACTTATGTACATATACAGCGAAGCAACACATGTGTTGAGTCTTTAGCGCAGTGCCCGCCAAACACTTTCCTGGGAAACGAACTATATTCGGCCTTTCACATGTACACAATCGGCTTATTACACGTACACAACCCGAACGTCAACAGAAAGAGTAGAAGAGCAACAAATTTTATTTAGTTCCATGCAAACAATAGGCGAAGCGGGTTGATGACGCATTATTGTTGAATAAAGTAGGTACACTGAGCAGAATGAGTGAATATTCATTCCAAAATTTTATAACAAAATTTTTCGTACATACACCCCTAGAAATAGGTATGTATATGGTACCAAGTCGTGCTTTTTTCTTCATATTAAAAGAACTTTGTGAATTTTGTATTTTTTTTAAATACCAGACTAGTCCTCAATTAAAACATACAATATGTTTTGTTATTTATCTTTTGGTTTAGTCGTTATTTTAAACTGTTCTTAAATGTCAAGTTTTACCTAATTTTAAAATAAATTTATATTAGATATATATATTTTCATTTTATTTCTACTTGAAATCAACGAAATTTTCTTTTAATATTCAGAGTGCTCGAAGCATGTTATCTTTTTTGCTCAGAAATCCACCCTTAAATTATAAAAAAATAATAATAATTTTGTACAATACATACAAAATTTTAACAACTTTTTCCTTTCTCAGGGCCGTTAACTTTCATTATATGTTTCTATGTTGTTTAGATCTAAAAAAACGCACAATGAAAAAACTGCAAAAAAGCATACCAAAGTTTTTATAATAAGTAATACAACACAGAAACTTTTTTCCGTGCATTACCACCCACACATTCTCATTTTTTATTTCATAACTAATGCATTCTCATTTTAAGACTTTTCTCTTTTTGGCGGACACTGCTTTAGCGAGAGCTTGTTTGGGTTTTTTCCCACATTTCACTCGCATCTGCTATCATTTGCATTTGGCATTTGGTCCGCTGGGTACACTTGCAGTCATATGATTGTGACAAATAATATGAACGGAAAACAGCAAACGAATCAAAAAATACATAACTAATTTCGTGGAAAAATCTGTAGTATTATAAAAAACAGCAAGTGCACGCGCTAAACCTTGTTGACGATTTTCGTTACTCCGGCTTATGGAAATCGTCAGATTAAGGACTGGTACAGAAAGTTCTGCAAATTTTGAACCCGCTACAAAATGTTTAGCAATGGCATAGTAGGCTCTGAATAAATTGCTTTCAAACTGGTGTTTCATTACATTTTCAAAACTATGTTAGTTTCTGCAGTCAAAGCATTACCAAGGAAAAAAATTAATACGAACGAAGAGCTCCGCAAAAAAATTCTGTACATTTGGACGAATAATCCCAATATAAGTTACAAAAAGTTGGCGAAACTCACTGGATCAACTTATGACACTGCACGGAGGACGGTTTTGCGCATTAAGAAAGGTGGCTCAGTGAAGGACAAGCCGAGAAGTGGCCGCCCAAATGGATCAGCAGACGCCCAGTTGGAGAAGAAGGTAATAGCCATAATTAGGAAGAACCGCTCCATGTCAACAAGAGATATCGCCATAAGAGCTAAAACCACGCATGTGCAGGTCACTCGAATCAAGAAAAGAAATGGTATCAAAACTTACAAAAAGAAAAAAGTTCCAAAACGAAGCGAAAAACAAACTTCAAAAAGTGTTTCCCTTGCACGTAAGTTGTATGAGACACCACTGGCAAACAAAAATTTTTGTGTGATTATGGACGACGAAACTTATTTGAAAATGGACTTGAGGACATTGCCGGGTAACCAATTTTACTGCCTGGAGTCTGGAGAAGACATTTCTGATTCGGAAAAAACCATCCAGATAGAAAAGTTTGGTAAAAAAGTTCTAATTTGGCAAGCCATATGTGAATGCGGGCATAAATCCACGCCATTCTTCACTATGGGAACCATCAACACTGAAATTTACGTGAAAGAGTGTCTTCAAAAACGTCTTCTGCCCTTCCTACGTCATCATAATGGCCAAATTATGTTTTGGCCGGATTTGGCTCCAGCACATTATGCTAATATCACCCAAAAGTGGTTCGAAGATAACAATGTGCATTACGTGAGGAAAGACTTGAATCCACCTAATTGAGCGATATTGGGCTCTGATGAAAGCCAAACTTTTAAAAATGGGGAAACCAACCAAAACTATTTCAGAAATAAAAAGAATGTGGCGGACAGCATCGCTAAAAGTGGACAAAACCGTTGTACAAAACTTGATGTCAGGTCTCTCCAGAAAAGTTCGGGCGTATGGACAGCAACGAATAAATTGACACAATTTCTTTTCGTATTATCACTATAAACATGTAGTTTTATATTAATTAAAACAAAAATATAAAAAAAAGTTGTCGTATGCACTTAATGGGCGTTTTTTAATTTGGAGAACTTTCTGTACCGGTCCTTATATACTTTCCGTTCAGCTGTTTGCTTCATAATAAAAAAAAATTGGCCGCGCTCGAGAATGTCAAGGTAACGTCTTTTTTCAAGTTTGCGACCCCCCCAATCCCTTGTGTCACGCTCAAATCGTCAGATTATTGAAATGCACACTTTTCAGCATGTAATTAACCCACCATTTCTCAATCTGACTCGCTCGAGTAAATCCACCTATAAATTTTGTTTACTATTCTGATCAGCTGTCCTATGCGCGCATAGATGGCTTAGATTTGGCAGAGGTACTCAACAGGATGCAGGGTATTCCCCATATGTTAATCTGATGCGCTCGAGTAAGTCCCCGAATCCCCTCTTGGGCTCCCCCACTATTAAGAGAGGGATTTTCTTCAGATTACATTAAAATATTCACGGTGCCTAAAAATGTTGGTTACTTAGCGGTTTAGGTGCTTAAGCGGGTTTCACTGTACTTTATTAGCGGCGGCTTGTAATGAGCGGGAAGTGTGCCCTCCCTGCTTGAATATATCGGTTTGTTGATCCTCAGAGACACCAGGTGAGAGAGTCAAGTGGCGAAGATGCTGGCGGTCGGTTGTGATTGCAGAATTTCGACGTCTGATCTTCTTTATGTTTTCGGCGCACTTACGTGCACGAATCTTGCCTGTTAGAATGTAGTGGTCCAGGTTTTTATTTAATCCACGGCTCTTACGTATGTCTGGAATACTGTAAACCAACCTTGCGTCAATCACAACGCGATCGATTTATTAATTCTCTATTCCCACATTTTAAAAATTAAAAAAGCCTCTATACCAAAAAATTAATATTTGGCGCTTTTATTTAAAAAAAAAATTCTACTTTAATTTGTAATGTGCGTCGCCGTATCCGAAAAGCCAATTGTTTTTAAGTGAAGCTTTTGTGGATTTGCCCGAGTGTTTTCAAGCGCCTCCACCCACACAAATACGGCAAAAGAAGTGATACATTTGTGAAAATGATAAAAAAATGTTTGTTAAGGAATTATAATAAATTTCATAAAAACTTTCTTTTCTAAAGATTTCTAACAAAAATCGATGTAACCAAAATTGCTTGCTCTTAATAATTCTGTATAATTATAAAGATAACAGACAGGCGAAAACGTTGATATCAATCTGTAGATTCTTATACTCTTTTTATTTGAGTAATTTGATTTAGTGTCAATATATAGTATTTATGCAAGTATGTATATATATATACATACGTAAGTCTGTATGTACAGCGCTGAAAATGTTATTCTTCATTTGAAGAGCTTGTGCATTTGTTGGGATGTTAAATTACTGTTACGTACGTACGTACGTATGTATGCATGTGTGCACAACACATTATCTGCATACACACAATGTATGTACATATATGGAAGATTGAACACATACGTATTAGTATATAAAAGAAACATTTTTGCAAATTTCTGCACAGTGTTACAGTTAGCATCACCAAAAACACTAACGGCAGCAGCATTGTCCGCAGCAATTATCAGTTCCAATATAACATGAGAAACGTTCTTGGTAAGTTGAACTCAAGTTTTTCGTAACCAATTCTATTGCCTTCAGTTTACTATTCAATAATTCCTTCATGATTTCGTAGCATTCCTTGGTGCGCTTTTAGCTTTGGCGGCTTTAACAAACGCCGCCGCTGTAAATGGAAGAGGATGTAGCGGAGAAGAACCAATTGTGACCACAACAATTGCTCCATGTACAAGTTCAACACCTGCACCAACAACAACAGCGCGCACAAGAAGTACTACAACAACATCCAGCGTTACTACCACTGAACCAACAACCGCGTGTGCCCAATCAACAACCACTGCTATCACTACAACTCCTGCTCCAGCAACAACCACAGTCCTTACAATAACTACCACGTTTACTGCAACAACTCCTGCTCTAACCACAACCACGTGTTCAGCATCAACTACAGTTCCTACAACAACTACCACGGTTGTTGCAAC